CAACAGTATATCAAAGTCAACAGTATTGAACGCATTAATGAAATCCAGCGATTTCATGACTGTGAGTTGTTTATTATCCATACCCCACCGTATGTCATCAGTGACTTTGATTAAGGCAGTAGCCGTACTATGACCAGGACGGAAACCTGATTGTAAAAAATTTAACAAATTGTGCTTATTAAGGAAAAGGGCAGCTGTTGGCAAATTAGTTTTTCAAGGACATTAGAAAGGAAAGGTAAGATCGAGATGGGACGGAAATCAGAGAGGTTTACGAGATTAGATCTCTTCGGAAGGGGTATAAATGAATCGATGCATTTGCGGGCAGCGTCCGTAATTGCTTTCTGGCGAGATCGGATGATCCATTCTACAGGGACGTCATTTCGCGTGATTTCGATATGCATTTTCGACCGGGAGACCGTATGGAAGGATAACAAGATGAGAAAACTATATAGATACCTCACATAATAATAACGGGCTAATCCCAGTCAGCCTTTCGGGTCATCTGAGGCGACTGGGACTCCGTGACGGACCGCTCCAAGCTCAAATGCAGAAGGCGGTGCTCCCCGGTACCGCCCGCATCGTCCGCCGGTTTTTTCTCTTTTCCCCTAAACCTCTGCCGTTTGGATTTCCCTGTCAAGGGCTTCCATCTGGTTGGGTTTTTATTTATTCATGTTTTTTATGTATTTATTTTATTTTCTTGATATTTATGTATGTTTATCATTTTCATTTACAATTATATATTTATACAGCCTAACGAGATGAGAAAACTTTATAACATTAGTGTTTTCGTATTTTGTTGTATAAATTTGAAGACAAATTTCCTTAGTTGTACTGTTTGTATCTGGCTGATTATAATATCAATACATATAGGACATTAGGAAAAACAAATATGAAAAGTAAAAAATACTTTCCCGCCATTTTTCAATTCTTTCTGTTCGCCAAAATTAGTGAATCTAACGAAAAAATTCGATACATCCTGAAGATTTATTACAAAAAAAGGGGAAAATGCAACTCAAGCCGCGAAAAAATTTATGGACGTAATGCAGTGTCAGTAACAGTGGCACAAAGTTGGTTCAAGCGTTTTCAATCTAAGAATTTCTGTCAGTTTTGTAGATGGTGATCAGCTGGTTAGCTTCTACCACCGGGAAAAATCATCGATTCGGATTTCTAATGCCAAAAATTAAAGAGACTCAAGCAAGAAAGTTCGAAAAAATAGCTGGAATTGATCTAGAGAAAAGGAGTGGTCTTTCATCATGATAACGCCAGACCACACACATAATTGGCCACTCAGCAAAAATTGAGAGAGTTTGGTTGGGAAATGTTAATGCGTTTACCTTGCACCTTCAGATTTTAACCTGTTTCGCTCTCTTCAGAGTTCTTTGGGTAGGTTAACATTAAAAAAGGACTGTCAAAACTATTTGTCGCATTTTTTTAATCAAAAATCCCAAGATCCCTACAGCGACGGGATCATGTCACTACTCACAAGACGGCTACAAGTTATCGAACAAAATGGCACATATTAAATGTAATTAAACTTTGAAAAAAAATGTCTTGAATTTGTATATAAAATACGAAGAAACTTTTCCCCGACTTTATGATAATAATTTTTTTTCAAACAAATTTCGGTCACGGTGGTCAGTCTCACCCGAGACTAGTCATCTGAGCAGGACATGTACCTATATATAGTGCCCTAGTTTATGCGCTAACACAGGTTGCTTTTCTTTCCCTTCCTCTCATAGTCCGATGTGACGGTGATCCGACACGACTGGAAGTAGATCACGGGAGCTAAGCACTGTCAACTTCCTGACTTCAGGCTGCTACTCTAACTAACCGCCTCGTTGGCTTAGTAGTCGTAAACTCGGTTGCTGATCATGAGGTCCTGGGTTTGAATCCCGGGTCGGGTCAAAAGTTATCAGGTTTTTCTGTCAAGAAATCATCATAATAACTTCTTATTTGTATTTAAAGTAAAACATGTGACTTTATTAGACGCAAACTCCTTATGACATGTATCTCTGTATCATGACGAGTATTTTATGTAGTCACCTTAAATACCAAATGTTTAAGTCATTAAATTTGGACATCTCGTTTAGGCAACTTTATGAAATGAAAATAAGTTACGCAAAATATTCTATAGCGGCAACCCGGTACATTATAAATTGTACATAATAGTGTATAATGTATCCAGTTAACCAGTCATTATAAGGTCTGGATTTACGTTACGGGGGCAGGAATTTTAGCTAACGGAGTAAATGTGAAACAATTGTGTGTGTTTGTGTGTGTGTGTGTGTGTGTGTGTGTGTGTGTGTGTGTGTGTGTGTGTGTGTGTGTGTGTGTGTGTGTGTGTGTGTGTGTGTGTGTGTGTGTGTGTGTGTGTGTGTGTGTGTGTGTGTGTGTGTGTGTTAAAATTCTGCGTATATGAAAAATAGGAAACGATGTTGTAAGTGTTTTTAGGAAGGATACTTCAAATATCAAGTTATTTTATCCGCTAAGGTGCCTTAAAATACTATCGTCATAAACTGTCCGCTGGTTCAAGTTTTCGCCAAAATTTTCTAAAAGCTTCGCAACGTAATGCATTAGTGTAATGTGAGGGATTCTATGAACAAAACTACGCCAATATATTCTAAGCATAGACTTAGAATATACTGGCGCAGTATATTCCAAGTCTATGATTCTAAGTATACGCAACAAAAGACACGCCAGACAAAGCAGTTGTGTATCGCTAGCAACGCAAAGTCGGGAATTTGCATTTGGAAAAATCCAAAATTAGGGGCTTTTAAGGTGCTAATTAGGTGCCAAGTTTAAAAATTAGGTGCTCTAAAATTTTCACCGTAACGAACTGTTGAAATTTGCGTTGCTAGCAAAACGTCTCGCTAGCAACGCAATGAATTTATTAGATATACGATAAATATTAATAGCAAGGAATTAAGTGCTAATTAGGTGCTGAAAATATACGTAATAACAAGGCGCCCCTAATAAAAATAAAGTCGTTATTCAGAACATAGCAGTTGCAAAATTCAGATTTCCTGAAAATCAAAATAGAATCAAAATTGCTTTCAGAATAAGTCCAAATTAGGGGCTTTTTAGGTGCTAATTAAGTACCAAGTTTAAAAATTAGTTGCTCCAATATTTTCACCGCAACGAACCATTAAAATTTGCGTTGCTGGCAAAGCGTATCGCTAGCAACGCTGATGATGTTACTAGATATACGATAAATATTAATAGCAAGGAATTATGTGCTAATTAAGTGCTGCAGATCGATTATCGAAACCCGATACAGATTACGATATTATTCTGGGAATTATGGGGTCTACAACCACAATTACCTTACTATAATGTATGAACAGTATTTTTTGTTCTTTATTAGTTCTGAAAGTTCTGCTAATTAGGTGCTGAAAGATTATTGAGGTCGCATGTTGATGACGGTAATATTCTGGAAATTATCGGATTTAAAACCACCATTACCTTACTATAAGGTATGAACGGCATTTTTTGTTTTTCAGATTTAATATGATTATATTTGAAAATGGTTGAAAATTGGTTGAAAATTATATTAAATTATATTATAAAATATATATATAGAGAAAAAATATTATTTAATATAATTTTCAACCAAATAAATGTTACAATTCTTATTTTTAGACATGTGAAGCCTAAAGTTTAGTGTACTCGAAAGGATATTTCCTTTCCAGTAAATTGCTTTGTAATAAATAGCGCCATCTACAACGTTCTATAGTTCTAGTCATTTTATCAAATCAAAATCGATGGACTCTCAAAGTGGTAAGTAGGATAGACGCTAGATGGCACAAACACAAAGACCTAATTTTTTACGTGGTAGAGCCATGCTGCAGCTATATTATGGTTGTATATATAATGGGTCGGCTCGACCGGGGAAGGACCACGCTTTCACATAATACCAGCGTAAAATAGCAGCTTAACGCTGCTGTGTTTCGTATGGTGAGTGTAGAGAACCGGAGACCCTTTTTACTGGAAACGAGGCATTCCATCTTAGTCCTTACGGGTGACAACGCATCTGCATTTTGATTCTTAATCGAAGATAGATGTAGATGTCTATGGGCCACAGCAACCACTTACCATCAGGTGGACTGTGTGCTCGTTTGTCACCCTTGTCCTATAAAAAAATTTTGCCTTGCTGAATAATTTTCGGAATAACGACTTTATTTTTATTAGGGGCGCCTTGTTATTGCGTATACTTCCAGCACCTAATTAGCACTTAATTCCTTGCTATTAATATTTATCGTATATCTAATAACTTAATTGCGTTGCTAGCGAGACGTTTTGCTAGCAACGCAAATTTCAACAGGTCGTTGCGGTGAAAATTTTATAGCATCTAATTTTTAAACTTGGTACTTAATTAGCACCTAAAAAGCCCCTTATTTGTACTTTTTCTGAAAGCAATTTTGATTCTATTTTGATTTTCGGGAAATCTGAATTTTGCATTTACTATGTTCTGAATAACGACTTTATTTTTATTAGGGGCGCCTTGTTATTACGTATATTTTCAGCACCTAATTAGCACTTAATTCCTTGCTATTAATATTTATCGTATATCTAATAAATTCATTGCGTTGCTAGCGAGACGTTTTGCTAGCAACGCAAATTTCAACAGTTCGTTGCGGTGAAAATTTTAGAGCACCTAATTTTTAAACTTGGCACTTAATTAGCACCTAAAAAGCCCCTAATTTGGGATTTTTCCAAATGCAAATTCCCGATTTTGCGTTGCTAGCGATACACAACTAGACAAAGCTGTATGGGCATAGATATAGAACCCTTTACCTTTATGTAAATAAAAATGTTTATCTATGATTCTATGAGTTTTTGAACTGTTGATGACGCATAAATGCAATGTAAAAAAAAAAGCACCTTCGAAACCAGATATACTAAAGTGATTTAATGATTTTGTAACATTTCATTCCGCGTAATTGCTGCTATCTTCTTTTTATTAATTTTAATCGCCATTATTAGTGTATTAAGCTTTCAAAATGAGTTTTTTGGGTAAGTTGTTTGGTGGTAAAAAGGAGGAAAAAGGGCCTACAACGCATGAAGCTATACAGAAGTTACGTGAAACTGAAGAATTGTTGATCAAAAAACAAGAATTTCTGGAACGGAAGATAGACGTAGAGTTACAAACTGCGAGGAAGCATGGTACTAAGAACAAAAGAGGTAAATAAGGTTTGGTTCACAAGTTTCAGACATTTGATGGTTCTATTGTTGACATGCTAATGACCTTGTTAATACTCTTGTCAGCTGTGATTTATTTTATTTCTATTTAGTTCCAAGTGTACAGTTTTTCTTTAAAAAATATGATACAGGTTAGCTATTAGGAACATAATTCGTATTATTTTTAAATTTGCTGTTCAATGATTACAGCTGTTTGTTAATATTGTTATTCGTAGTACATGTGCACATGAATTACGTTGAATAAAGGTATATTGGGACAAGTGAGTGCCTTTATTAAGTATTAACACACTTTCATTACTTGTATTTATGTGACATGGTAGAGCTAAACTTCAGCTATATTATGGTTGTAGCACAATATGGGTCGGCTCGATCAGGGAAGGACTATTTTAAAGATTATTTCATTACATTATTATGTTACATTATTAAATTAGGTATACAATAGTAGATAAATTATTTGAATATTCTATAGTTTGAATTTAATTAATAATAATCATTAAAAAGAAAATAAAATAAAAAAGGCAGGCCAAAGTATTAATGATACTTGTACCAAAACATTCTTTTACATTACAGAAACATTTATCTAATTATCTATACAAATAAATAAAATTGAAATTTAATTTAAATTAAGCTTTCCATTGACTCCCGTCGAGTTGGGGGTTGATACGTATTTTTACAGAAAAGTAACACTATTATAAGCACACACACAAAGTTACTACATGCGGAACCACATAATTTTTGAGAAAAAAGTTATTGGAAATCAATTATTATTGCATTGTTTATATTTAATCCTACCATACAATAAAACTGACGCAATTTTATAATGTCATTGTTGTCAGTAGGGATGTCGATTCTTTCCGAAAAATGTCAATTTTTAAATCGATTCAAATCGTAAGCTGATATATCGATTCACAAAAAATCGATTTCTAAAATATCTAATTTTTTATGTTTGCATTTATAATGTAAATATAATTCCATTTTATGAAAAACAAGAAAGATACCATAATAAATGATCTCTTATTGAAATTTGTTTTATTTTAACAGTACCAATTAGGGCAGATAACAAATAAAATAGGTTAGGTTCAACTTATGTCAGAGAACCGAATTGATTAACCCCGACTCTATCTGGTACGAGTCTGTCCTACCCCTAGAGTGGTTTTAAAGAGCCGGAGGAGCGTAGGGGAGCAGCCTCCGCCTGCTGTTACAAATCGTAGGAGGAGGGATGCCTGTGATTTGTTACGCTAAGGCGTAGAGGCTGCTCTTCCCGTAGCGCCGGAGACGTAGCAGTCTCAAAATAGATACAGAAATCCTTCTGAATCAGTCCCCCTATATTTTATGATGAAGGGGATTTTTTTCTCATAAAATGGATTTATATTTACATTATAAATGCAAACATGAAAAAAGATATAGATATTTTAGAAATCGATTTTTTGAGAATCGATTCATCAGCTTACAATTCGAATCTATTTAAAAAATCGATCTTTTTCGGAAAGAATCGACATCCCTACTGACAAAGACAATAAAAAAATGGCATCAGTTTTATTGTAGGATTAGACATAAACAATGCAAGAATAATTGATTTTCAATAACTTTTTTCTCAAAAATTACACGCTTCCGCATGTTGTAACTTTGTGTGTGTGCTTATAATAGTGTAACTTTTCTGTAAAAATACTTATCAACCCCCAACTCGACGGGAGTCAATGGAAAGTCGTACCCAAAAAACAATTTTAAAGTTTTTGTCTGTCTGTTTATTCCGGCTAATCTCCGAAATGGCTGGACCGATTTTGACGGGACTTTTACTAGCAGATAGATAATGTAATAAGGAGCAAAAAATCGGTGAAGGTGAAGTCGCAAGGGACAGTTAGTCAATTAAATATAACTTTAATTTTAATAAAAATAATGTAGTATATGTTAGAATTTTAATGCTATTTGGAGGGTTATTAAATTTTTTACTGTCATATGTCATACAGTAGGGACTAGAGCTATGTAATGAGAGTGTAGATTTCGGCAATAGTAACTTATTCTTATTTGATCTAATTGAATACTTTAATTATTTACACTTAATTTTGTGAATAGTTCTGGGTTGTGGTAGTTGTTTTTTTTTACAAATTCGCATGTTTCCCATATATAAATAGACATCAAAGTCCAAAGGAGAAAGGCAGATTTTGTACCACATACTTTTTTTGTTGTTTTGTTATAGAATTTGTACTACATATTAAGGCAACTAAGCCATTTATTTTTATGTTAGTGTTCTATTTTTAGAACTCTGGATTAGTTAATGATATCAATAAAAATTTTTTGAGTAACGATCCAAGAGCGAGTCTTATCCGACATTATTCCGATGATATCCCGGACGTCAGTCTGAGCGAGATTAGAATGGCTCTCCAGCACCTTAAAAACGGCAAGGCCCCAGGCCAGGATGGAATTACAGCGGAGCTTCTGAAAGCGGGTGGAAAACCGGTACTTGAAGTCCTTCAGAAGCTCTTTAATTCCGTCCTCCATGGTGGCATTACACCGGAGGCGTGGAGCAGAAGTGCGGTGGTCTTGTTCTTCAAGAAAGGCGACAACGCTCTCTTGAAGAACTACAGACCGATTTCCCTTCTGAGCCGCGTCTACGTGCTGTTTTCGAGAGTCATTACGAATCGTCTCGCGCGCAGACTTGACGACTTCCAGCCTCCCGAACAAGCCGGTTTCCGAAAAGGCTTTAGCACCATAGACCACATACATACCCTTCGGCAAATTGTACAGAAGTCCGAGGAGTACAATTTGCCACTATGTCTGGCGTATGTGGACTATGAGAAAGCCTTTGATTCCGTCGAAATTTAGGCGGTGCTGCAGTCCCTTCAGCGATGCCAAGTTGACTGTCGGTATATCGAAGTGTTGAAGTGCTTGTACAGTAGGGCTACGATGGCTATCCAAGTACAGAACCAGAGTACGAAACCTATCCAATTGCAGAGAGGTGTAAGACAGGGTGACGTCATATCCCCGAAACTCTTCACCGCTGCATTGGAAGATGTTTTCAAGCTTCTGGACTGGAAAGGATACGGTATCAACATCAATGGCGAGTACATCACTCACCTTCGATTTGCCGACGATATAGTCCTTATGGCAGAATCGCTGGAGGACCTAAGCACTATGCTCAATGACCTCAATAGTGTTTCCCAACGGATAGGTCTTAAGATGAACATGGACAAAACAAAGATCATGTTTAATGTCCATATCACACCTATGCCGGTAGTTGTTGGGAACACTAAGCTCGAAGTTGTTGACGAGTATGTTTACCTGGGACAAATAGTCCGACTAGGTAAGTCCAACTTCGACCGAGAGGTCAATCGACGGATTCAACTCGGTTGGGCAGCGTTCGGGAAATTACGGCACATCTTCTCGTCAGGTATACCTCAAAACTTGAAAACGAGACTGTACACCCAGTGCGTGTTGCCAGTGATGACATACGGAACTGAGACGTGGTCCTTCACTGCTGGCCGGATGAGGAAGCTCAAGGTCGCTCAGCGAGCTATGGAGAGGGCTATGCTCGGAGTTTCTCTGCTTGATAAACTCAGAAATGAGGATATCCGCAGTAGAACCAGAGTGACCGACATAGCCCAACGGATTAGTAAGCTGAAGTGGCAATGGGCCGGCCATATAGCTCGAAGAACCGACAACCGATGGGGAAGAAAGGTTCTCGAGTGGCAGCCTCGTACCGGCAGGCGAAGTGTAGGGCGTCCCCCCACTAGATGGAGTGACGACCTGGTAAGATTTGCAGGAAGTCGATGGATGCAGGTGGCTCAGGACCGTGCTTTGTGGCATTCTTTGGGGGAGGCCTATGTTCAGCAGTGGACTTGTGAAGGGCTGTAATGATGATGATGATCAATAAAAATATTTTAATAAATAAACTTAATATAAGCGTAAACTAACACATTTATGTTTTTAGAAGTTGCCATATGTAAAATAACACAAATATCGAGATGACAATTATTTATTTAGAAATAGAAATAACACTATATATAATTAAACACATATATTATACCTAAGAATGCATAATTGTTGCATAAAATCATAATAGTTTACGATTTAATGATAGGAATGATGTTCCTCATCAATATTTTTTGCTCATATGGCAACTATTTATTGACAGGTAAAGATTATCTGTCTTTCAGTTCACTTCAGTTTTCAGTTTTTTGCTGTTGTTTTGGATTGTAGTTTGTGACTGCATCTGAGCAATTTAGCGAATTATCTGGCCGTTTTTACGATGAGTTGAGCATCTGCTCCTCCATTCTCAATATCTTGATAGTAGTTTCGCAAAATGACGCGGACCATATAGTGCCACTACAAATGATGCGACAATAATGAATGACTTACTAAACAAAACAGAATTCAATGATTTTTATAAAGATAATGATGTTTTTATTCTCGATAGAGGTTTTCGTGACTGCATGGATAGTCTGCATGAGAAAGGATATGTAGGTCATATGCCTAAAACTAAAGAAAACGGCCAATCACAGCTATCCACTATTGGAGCCAATAGATCACGCTGTGTAACTATAAACAGGTGGGTAGTAGAAGCTGCGAATGACCGTTTTAAGAGAGACTTCAAATTGTTCCGCCATGAATATTTTAACCGTGGTTGTCGCAATCTTATGACAGATTTTAAAATAGCAGCTAATCAAACTGTTGCAGTCCGCTGCTGGATATAGGTATCTCCTAATGCACCCCGCTGAATAGGTACGATCCTCATCTCAATCTACCTATGTGATGGTAAGTAAAACACTACAAAGATAGCGACAAGCAATTTAGAACATTTACTTTGTCACCAAAACAATGTTTATGTGCATATATGCAACAATCTACATTGATACACTAGTACATAACCTTAAAAAATAAAACTGGTTATAACTTTTACGTCCCAAGTTTTAAAAATCTTAGAATTTAAATAGGGTTTGTCTATCCTACTAACTGCCAATTAAAACAAAAAATATCCCAAAACA